TGGCCTATACACATACAGCACAGCAATGAAGTAATAAAATGAACTAGGATCACACTACTAGGAACTAGGAACTAGGATCACACTAATCCAGCACGTTATTAATCTCACGTGCCCCATTCAATATGGCCGCCACTTGAGTGGGGGAACTCAGAATAATAACGTGCTGGATTAGTGTGATCCTAGTTCATTTTATTACTTCATTGCTGTGCTGTATATGCATAGACCAATAACGAAGGGGGAAGGAGTCCGGTGATGTCACGGACATCAACGTCATCGGACTCCTCCCCCCTTCCATTCATTAGCCGTCACGGACATCGACGTCACCGGACTCCCCCCTTCCCTTCGTTAGCTGACGGAGCCACTTGGGGAAGGGGGGGAGGAGTCCGGTGATCGCCGACGGGACTCCCGGAAGCCGGGGGAGAGGTGAGTGTTTGCATTAGCGATCAAAATAATTTTCATCGATCAAAAAGTTTCACGATTAATCGAGAAATGAATCTTTAATTTCCACAGTCCTATGAAAAACTAAAAAAATAAATAAATGTATTTCTATATTAAATTTCCATAAGTTGAATCCCATTCCTAATAACCATATCCATCTAAAAGTTTGTAAATTTGAAGCATGTAGTAGAAGGATGTATGGCCTTGATGCACTGACACAATTTCACTCAGCCCTGTGAATATGTAATTCCTTGTGTCCTAGCTCTCAGAGAGTCTGCCTTCTGAATTAATACTCAACGTCTGAACAATGTAACATTATCATTGCTTGCTGGAAGCGATGCATGATGGCATATGTAATCTTGAGAAACCGAGATCACATCAGGCAGCACAGGAAGCGATGCAAAGCACACTGGGAACCCAGGAAGTTGTTGAAAGTGATGGGCAGATGGAAGGCAACACTCACTATATAAAAGAGATTTTTTTAGTAAGCTTTGATTGCATTATGTCAGGGGCAGGGGCAGGCAGCAATCAATAGAGAAGTCCAAACAAGCTGGGTCAAGCAGGTAACAGGAATCAAACAGAATGCAGGCACACAGGAATACTAGATGAAAGACAATCAGCAATGGGGCAAGGGCAGGTTCGTTTTTATATGCTAAACTATTAGGTTAGAGGTGTCCTTTCCAAGTGTTTTCGTGCACTTCCAGTTTTAGCGTGTTTTCGCTCACTTCTGCGCATGCCCACTATGGCATGTTTTCTGGCCACACGAATATTTGGTTTATGCGCATGTGCAGGTGCCATTTTACCCTTATAAGAGTGTTGTCACCAGATAGCAGGAAGTGCCTAGACAAGGAACATCATGGCATAATGACCAGGCAATTATTTTAATAAAAGCTTAAAGAAATTTTTTTTCTGTTTCGAACTGCATAAAATAAGAAGGACAAAATTATTAAAGGTGAATTCCAGGATACAAGTCAATTTTCGGCATTATATCCATTACATCTGTACATAATAAAGCTGTTGATGTCATCTGTTTAAGGCCTGTGCCTTTATACCTTTTAAGGAATAAGCGCATCTATGGTTTAACAGAGGAGGAATCCAGCAAGCAGTGCTGTCACTGTGCAAAGCCAATTGTGGAAACAATTCCCATCATGCAATGCGAATTATAGTTATGAATGGAAGTGAATGTGAGTTGAATTACGGGGCAGCTGATTCAGCCATTGCCTGCCTTCTGTCTATAAAGTAATGCAATGATAGTGGGCAGGTCAGACCGGGAGTGTGAGACTCCTGACACCTCCCACTACAGCGAGTGGCGACGAAAATTAAATTACTGCTCACTGATAATACTACTACACGAGGAATCCTACAAGATGGAACACTAGTGGAATAATGGGCATAGCGGCCACTGCTCTTATACAACAGAAATTAGGTGCACACAGCCCTTCCAGAGGGGATTCCTTAGTGGGGGAATTCCTGTATTTGGAAGCATGGAGGAATCGATTAAAGCGGACCTTTACCCCCTTTCACTAAAAATCACATTTGGATGCAGCTCTGCATGCTGAAATGAAATGATCTCACATTGATTTAGATAAAAAAATAAATATATGCTTTTACTCACAATTATTGTTTTTCCACTACCCGGTCCCCTTGGGCATTAGTGATGTAATGTGCCCAAGCAATGCATCCTGGGAAGGTTACATCAGTAGAGCATTGCTGGGAAATCTCATCTGTAATCTCGAGATCTCAGGGGAAGAAATGCCTTTCCCTGAGATCTTTTGAGATTACAGTTGTGCATGGTCACATGTCCTAGTCACATGTGCCAGAGTTCCAGGAAGTAAAGGGAGATATATGAATCTGCCCTTAGTTAAAATGGCCACTGTCAGAAGACTGGAGAAGAAAAGAGAAACAAAAAAGCTGGCAATTATCTAGAAGTATGTATTTGTAGATTGTTTGTATATTGTCATTACTAAACATTTCTAAAGGTGTGTTTGTTGTCATTTTAAAGATATGGGTAAAGTTCCGCTTTAAAGGTGAGAAATGTAATTTTTAGCAATGAAAAAACTGCCTGCAGTTCAGCTTTATAGCCAGGGATATTCCAAATAATTGAGCTTCACGTAGATGCCGGGAAACCTTTGGCTTGGACTGTTCTTGCACAATTACATAGTTAGTCAGGTTAAAAGAAGACACAAGTCCATCAAGTTCAACCAATGGAGGGGAAAAATGAATAAATAAATAGAAAACTTCCATAAACAGAGCTCTATACTCACAGCTGATCCAGAGGAAGGGAAAAAAACCCTTCATGAATCAGTTTGCTCCAACAGGGGAAAACAAAATCCTTCCTGAGCCCCTAACAATCGGATATTCCCTGGATCAACAATCTCTTATTACTTCTCAAATGTTAATACATTATCTATTATATTCTGTGCACTTAGGAATAGATCCAAAATTGTATTAACAATTAACTGAGGTAGCGAGTAGTCCATGAGGAATCCTACTCCACATTTTCACAGCTCTCACTGTGAAGAAGCCTTTCTGTATGTCAGGGGCGTCCCGAGGCCGGGTGTCACCCGGTCTCCAGTCCGGGGGACACCCCGCCGGCACGTAATCGTGCGTGTGTGGTCATCTTGGTGATGGACGCCGGCAGAGAGAGGAGGGGACGTTCACCCGGCTGGTTAAGGTAAGCCGCCGGGTCCCCTCCTCTCTCCTGACACTGTCGTGCTCTCGGTCCATGACCGAGTGCTCGACTTTTTAGAGGGGGGGACACCAAAATGACTGTCAGCCATTTTGGTGTCACCCCGATGCAGGCCGGACCCCCCGCACCCTCTGCTGTGTGTGAAGGTTAGACCTCTTTACCTGCAGACGCAAAGAGTGCCCCCTTGCTCTTTGCAGTGACCTTAAAGAAGAACTATACGCATATTACAAAATTAATCCTTATAGTGGGACTACCCCCGCACTGCAATGGTTAAGTGCTCGCTTTGGTCTAGGGTCTAAAATACCCGATCCCCACAACCTCTTCTTCCCCAGCTCCGGAGGTCTAAGGACCTGTGACGTCATTCAGGGGCGTAACTAGAAATCACAAAATTTTGCATGGGGCCCCGTAATTGCTAGTTATGCCACTTGCAGAGCCCCAGCGGAGAGTGACCCTGCAGAGCCCGCCATAGACTCTCTATAGTGGGGTCTGAGATCTCTTACCTGTCAGCGCCTCTGTGGTCGCCGGGCCCGCCTCCTCCATTCCGAACACCGCCCTGTTCAGGGCCGCTATGGCATGTGGGGGTGCTGGCTGTCACAGCTCCGCAGCGGCTATGAGGGGAAATGCGCCGTGGCCGCTGCTGAGCTGTGTCTGTGACAGCCAGCACCCCCACATGCCATAGCGACCCAGCCGGCCCTGGCCGGGCCCCCCTGAACAGGGCCCCATAGCGGCCGCCTGGGTCGCTATGGCGATTGTTACGCCACTGACGTCATTGCATCCATTCACTTGCATTGGACGTAAGGACACCAAGGGAAATTCCACAGCCAGAGCGGGGGAGACAGGTGGCAATAGACCAAAAGGAGCACTTAACCCTTGCAATGCAGGGATAGCCCCAAATGAGAGGGTTAATTTTGTACATGCCCAGAGTTTTTCTTTACAGTGAGTCATTTTGCTCCAAGTCCACTATAAGGACCATTTATTTATTTGCATATGGTGATCATGTTCCCCTTAAAGTGCTATTAAAGTCAAAATGTTTTAAAGCGTTTTAATTTGCTGATGAAATCACTTACAATGGATGCTGCTTCTTGATGTTTAGAAGTTTTAGTTTCCTGCAGTAATGAGCATTTTCCCTGATATCCTATATTAGGGTGCCTCCTTTCCCTTGCAGGGTCCTGTAGAGCCATCATTGTGCGCTAGTAAGCTATGTGTGTCTCATTAAACACACAGACACAGCAAGGCAAGCCTCTCTACCACTCCCTTCTCCAATCTAGTAGATGAGCAGCTGATGGACCCTGCTCTGTCCCTTGTGATCTTGTACTGGGCAGGAAGTTCAGGGAAGCTGAGCTAAGAGAGTTGGAGCTGTTCAGAAACATGATGATTGTATGTGCTTGGGAAAAATATAAAGCAATGCTATGTTGGGCAATGTATATTTGTTTGATCTGGATTCATTATTGAAAGTTTGAGTTTAATACTACTTTAATCACCTTCTCAAGAGAGAAGACATTCAGTTCAGATCTTTCCTCATCCTTTCAGTGAACTGGAACCCAAAACTAAACTTCATATTCCAGAAGAGGGTCACTAATGCTTTGTACAGGGGAAGGACTGGCCAACTAAAACCACGGTACACTGCATGTTTCGTTACTGTCCGCCCAACACATAACATCTACTCCACGTCCTCCTCAGCTCCACACTGCGCTCCCTGTACCTCCCACTTCTTATATAGACACGGGGAGGACCTGCCCTCCGGTGACGTCACGCTCAGGCAGCAGCCAATCGCAGAATGAGCTGAGCGCTCAGCGAGAAAGCCCAGGTTGGTCTCCTGAGTGTGTGTATATATATAATGCACCCCCGGACTGCGCTCTTTATCCACAGCACGGCACGGAGCCGCTTTATCTGCTTTGCTTCCCCTATTTCTACCTACTTTCTGCTCTCTCCGGGAAATGTGCCAGTGATCGGTGGCCATTTAAACGCTGCACGCTTTTAACCATTAAGCAATTGCCCCCCGCGTTTCAAGATGCCCCGGGGGCCCCTGACCGGGCTGCTCCTGACCCTGTGTGTGAGCGCAGCGGTACAAGCCGCCCCATCCGAGAGGACCAAGAGCCGCAGACAGGCACAGCAAGCAGTGCAACCTGTGATCGCTGCAGATCCCTCTCAGAGTAAGGAAACTCTTCTGGGGTGTTTGTTTTGGATGGGGGGGCTGGTAGGGTGCAGGCAACCTGGGGCTCTCTATTTGGTCTGAGTCTAAACCAAAAGATGTACCTCCACTATATTTGGAGAGCTCCAGATTACCCAATTGTTCTACATTCCAGGGTTCAGTATGACCTCCTCATATGATGGATAATACTAGACATAACTATTGAATTGCATATTGGAGGTAAAGCATAAGGAGGCTGCTGCCCTTGGCAACCAGCTTCCTTTTAACCTGCAAGTAGGTACTGAAACATAGGGAATGATGGAGGTTCTAAAACTTGTGACGTTGGTGTCCATCACAGGCTCAGCCAGACAATGGGCACAATTTCCCAAAGCTAACACACCAGTATAGGGTTCTTTTGTTATTTTTAGTCCAATGAAATGTGAAAATGAGTCTCATGCCTGAGAAAGTTCCCTGTGCTTCTCTTAAAACTTTGGATTGTTTTAATTAAATTCAATCTGGTTGCTATGGGAGCTGCATCACTTTTCCAAGTTTTTTTCTTTCTTGGGGGAAAAAGTGTGATTTGTTATGGACCATCCAGATTCCTTGTTTTTAAAACCCATTCTCTTTGTTCTGACTCTGGAACCTATGTAATCACCTTTTAGGACTGAATGGGACTGTGTTGCTCCCAATCACACTATTTCCCCCCAGACCTTTTGTCAACATTGCTAGATGAAGCAGTAGGCTTCTAAAAAAAATGCAGTACATCTGGTTTGCCTTTTGCTATCATATTGTAGCAGCGTTTGCCATTTTCAGACACACATTGGACTCATTGTTCTCTCTAATGGTCTACAGTTTTTATTCCCCCCCTGGTTCAAAATATTCCTCCTGGAAAAAGTCACACCTGATTCCCCCCCAAAGACCTATTCTGGCAGTCTGGATAAACAATTGTGTTGAAGTTGTTGCATCCTATTTCTTTTAAATAAATCTGACTGGTTGGTTAAATCTCCTTTTGTTGTTATACTTCCAAATGGAATTGTCAGTTTACAACAAAAGTACAACTCTGGGTGGAATATCTAACTTTGAAAGCTTAAGTGAACAAGCAGAAGATAGAAGCTGGTTGGTTGCCATAGACGACTGCTCCAGATTCT